AGGCAGGGAACTGAGCGGAGATGGGCCTGCCAGCCTGTGCGCTCCAGAAACACTAGGGCCCGTTTTCCATTTATCCTTTCAGATAAGCTGTGAGTCATCAAAATGCCGACCGTCATTCTCAACCAGACTTGCACAGGGCTGGAATAACTAAAAGCTGTTTTCTTCACCCAATTTGTGTGGAAGCCACAGGTAGTCCAGGTGAACGTAGTCTTCTCATTGTTACTTAAGTGTACATGTGTGTATCTGTGAAGCTGAAGAGATTGGTCTCGAAGGGGTGAGCTTGAGCCCTGGAAGAGAGGGGAACGGAACCAAGGGACAACCAGCATCTCACGGTCAGCTTGGTGACTCTGTGTAGTGCCTAACAAGCCTTGAACAAAACACTCAGGGAACAGATTCTCAACATTTTCTCCTAAAGATGCTGATTGGGAGCTCTGGGGTAAAACCCATGGCCAGGATTTTTTTTACCAAATCCCCCCAGGTGATTCTTAGGATAAGCTCAGTGTAGGAAAAGCTGCTGTATACCTTTCCAAGGTATTTAGAGAACCCAATTTCCTTCCAGACACATCCGTGAGCTTGTGACTCCAGGAGGTCCGGGCAGCAGCAGCTCAGCCCTGCAACGTGTCACACACAGCGTCTCATCTGCTGGGAAATAGGAGCTTGCTATTTTTTCCATTTTGACATTTGCTGACATACACCATGTCACTTGAAGATAGAATAAGTAGGTGAATTTTGCATAAGTTATTTGATGACTCTATCAGAAACTTCTGGTAACATGAAATAAATTCTTCCATGATCATCTTTCTAGCCTTCAGCCTTTAGTTTTGGCTATGCCAATTCAGGTGATGTATTTTGGCTATTGTAACTGGTGGCCAGCACTTACTGTTACTCTGTTCCAGCACCTTCTCAAGCAAATAAATTACGTCAGTTAAGCTTCATTCTCCCTAAGACGTAGCTTTATTCTTCTTCTTAGGATGAAATGGGTAATGGAAGCACAGAGAGATGAAGCAACTTGCCTGAGGTTACACAGCTAGCTGGTGTAGTGGTTCTCGGATTCCTAAGCCTTGCTATAAGGCATGTGTGCTCACTGGAGAGAGACAGAGACAGAAAGTGAGATGGAGACACTGCCCCCTCACCCCCCAGGGGCGATGGCCACGCTGCAATCCCTTCTGCTCCATTTTTCTCTTGGGGTTTTGGGCATGCACATGGATCTGGTGTGAGTTTTAAGCCACCGGGACTGGGCCTCAAACCTCAGACGACTATATGGGAGTCCAGCAATGTAACCATGATGCTATTTCTCTGGTCTCCCATTATCCTTTTTTGTCTGCTGGAAAGAAGGTCCTGGTGGCTGATTTCTGTGTACTCCTAGGAGTCCTTTTAATTGTTTTATACACAGTGTACTTCTGTCATTTTTTTTGTAACAATGGTGTTTTATATTGGTCTACATTTTATAGTTTGCAAAGTACTTTAAAAAAAATTAATGTCTTGTATTATCTTTTAACTTACTATAGGGCATCTGTGCTCACCAGAGAAAGAAAGTCAAAAGCCACCAGCTCAGGGACTCAAACCACATGTGGGAGTTCAGCAGCTTGACCATCACGCCATCCGCTGGCCCCTGCAAAGTCCTTTCAAATATAAAATTTTGTGTGATTTCCCCACAACAATTTCAAGACGTGAGTTTTGTCTGTTTGCGAGAAAACAGTTATCAAATGTTAAGGAGTTGGCCGAAGGTTGCAGTTATGTCTTTTATCTTTTTTCTTTTCCAGGGGTGGGGGTAGTGGTGGATCTTTTTAATTTAATTAAGCTTTACAGATAGGTAATAAATATTTGTCGCCCCAAATCAAATGAATATAGTAGGGCCTGTGTTAAGACCCATTCTGGGTAATCTCATTTTTGTCTCTGCAATCATACCCATCCCTTAGCTGAGGAAACCGAAGGTGAGATGGGGCAGATAACTCGTCCACAGAAATAGTAAATTGAGACCCAGAGTTCAAATCCCAGAGCAGCTCCGCTCCTCGGCTCTCACCACGACACAGTGACACTAACGTCACAGAGGTGTAGAAACAGCATTATTTGCCTCCACCTTAGGAAAAAGAGCATTCTCCCTGTAATCCCTCTAGTGACAGCTGAGTCCGCTTATTTGGCGTGCTGGTGCCAGGTGGGACTGGGTAGAGGTAGTGAGAGTCGAGTCGCCAAACAGGAGCCTTGTGATTTCATAGCAATAACTTGCTATAGTCCTTCCAATGATTAGTTACTTGACTACACAAAGTAGGTCTGGATAGTGAAAACCAGAGCTTGAAGCCAGCCCTACTGAAGTCAGTCTTGTGGTCTTCTCACTGCCACATAGTTCCCTCTTCCAGTGGAACCTTCTGGAGTTTTAAGTCTCGTTTTCATAGAGTTCTAAAGTCGAAATGAGATTACCCAGAACAGGTGTAGCTCCCAATATCTGTCCCCGCACTCACCTGAAATGGTGTTAGAAGTAGGTTTTCTTCTGTTTTAGTCAAAGGTGCTTGATATTTCCTGCTCCTTTTAACATTTGATGACTTAAGATAAACACTGCCCTTCGTTGTGTTGTCCTCATTGCTGTGGAACTGGGCTCTTGGATGACAGGCGTACCTTGGTGACCTCCATTAATGTCACTGCCTCCTTGGCCACCCTGTCTAAACAGGTCCCTACCAAGTCCCCTGTTCTGTTATGGTTCTGTATGTATTACATTACCCCTGCCTTTGTGAATTTCATCCAAAGCATTGATGGTATAGACACATTTATTTGCTTCTTTGCTGGACACTGTCTGTCTCTCTGTCTCTGCTAGGCCATAAGCTCCCTGAGGGCAGGGGCATATTTGCTTGCTGCTTCCCCAGCACTTGGCTGAGTGACGTAGTGACTTTGGGCAGGTGCCTGGCTCCTTGCTGCTTCCAAAGATGCTAATGGAAGGAACAGTTTTTACCAATGTAATGAGGTGTTAGCTCTTGCAGCATCTGTCAGTTGTTTTTGGTTTTCTCTATTTAGGTGCTTTCTTTGATTTCTCACCCTAAGCAAGACAGAGGAATGAGGAAAGGCATCACCACATCTCTGTCTATAGCCATGAATGCCGCAGCCCTTGCCTTAGAGTATGGAACTTGGTGTTGCCTGGGGACAATGGTGCTTCTAAAATAGCCTACTGTTTCTGAACAACCAGAACCCAAAAGCTTAATGTCAGCCCCAGGGATAGATACTATAGTAATAATTTGATTACATCAAAGCACTTTTTTAGGGGTGAATGGTGGCGTGCAGTGGTAAGACGTGACGTTGTAAGGCTGACCCACATCGGGAGGTCCTGGGTTCAGGTCCAGTAGACCTTCCTGAGCTCAACAGGCATGAGCATGCCCATGATTTGGGGCTGGCTGAAGCCAGGGGTAGATTGTGGTGTCAAAACCCTGTTAGGGGTGCTATATCTCTGTTTCACTTATGAAATCAACTTTTAAAAAGAGCATTTATTAAAACGAACTAATAAACCATTATTTGGGGGCTTATTTGCCACTGCTTTGTTTAAAAAAAAATTATTTTCTTCATCTGTTAACCCAGGAAAGGTCCTATGTGATCACAATGGTCCTCTTTCTGCACATAACATTTCTTGTAAAATCTTAACTTTCCCCTGAACTTCTTCATCCCAAGCCAGGCCAGACCAGACCCTGCTTAATGTGCACAGGCTGCAACCACTGGGGAGTATTTAGGGTCGATGCTTCCTGCAGCCACACCTCATTCCCTAAGTAATAAGATAGGAAAGTGTTGGCTACGTTGATTTAATCATTTCTGTCTTGTTTGGCCTATGATGTCAGCCACTTTCTGGAAGTATCCAGGTCTGCATCACCCTACAATGTCTAGGATAATGCATTACTCATTGTAAGCTTCTGGTCAGAATTTCTTGAATGAATAAATAGTATGGCTCCAGTAGTTATCATTAAGCCTATTTAACTTTAAGCTCAACATATGCACATTTATTCAATACTAATACTAACGGCATTTTCTTTTAATTTAGCAGACTTATTTTAGAGCCTATTTAGAGATATAAAGGCATCCACCAAGGATACTACTTCTTTCATACACTTAAACATTTTATATGACTTGTTTGAGACAAGAAGCTTATTAGATGCACCTTTATGTGTTGTGTTCTTATTAAATACAATTTTGATTCAGTTAGGTTGACATCGTTGGAAACAACCTAGAAACTTATTGCACTAATATTTTATCTGCTAGTGGCTGTTTCTTTATTTGGAAAGCATTTTATTTTTACAGCTGGTTCCAAAGAAGAAAGGCTCCTTAAAAGACAGGCAGAGTTAGTTGATAGGCAGTGTGGGCGAGTACACAGGACCCCAATGTGCTTTATGATTCTCTGTTCACTTTGGACTTCAAAGAAGAGAACCCCCCCTCAAGGAGTGAATATTGGGAGATCTAACTGCAAGCAGTAGAGCTGTTACTCTAAGAAACAGGAAAATCATGAGGCGGCTTTGTGTTCTCGCCTTCATCGCGTGGCATAATCCCGACCTCAGCATTCCTGTTGCTTTGCTTCCTGTTTTCTTGACCAATGGTTCTGCTCATTCGTTCATTTCTATACAGCCCCACATAAGCTCTCATAAGATCACCTTAACCTCCAATGGCTGGCAGACTTGGTCTCAGCAATTTTAGTTGAAATTTCCAAAGAGTCTGCTTAGTCCAGCTTTGATCAGGTGTCTGTCCTTGTTCATTCGTTATTGCTAAGTTAATATGGATGTTGAGGGCGTCCCCACCAGAGAGCCTGAAGTAGAAGCAGACTCTCTGAAATACATGAGAACAGAAAGGTAGCATTCACCATAAGCTAGTTTTAAGCCTCTCCTTTTTAAAATTGCCTAAGGAAGTCTTCACTTACCAGAGAGACAGAGAAGAAGAGATAGCACCTTCCAGTGAGGCCTGGTCACAGCACAGTCCCTTCCCTTTCTTTTCTGCATCTCTTCAAAATCATAAGCATGCATACATATGTGCATGTTTATTTTATCCCCCTCTTCCCGGTGCCAGCAGCCCACAGATAGAGACTGGGCAATGGTTTGGAGCTGGTTTGCTCTAGCATGGGACACTGTGAGAGGCCCAGGGGATGAACCTGCCATAAATCCCAAGCCATGGATGCCAACATATTTTTTTTTTTTTCAAGCTGCCAGGGCTGCACTGAACCATTGTCAATCACATGGGATTCAGCTTCTCTATCTATAGGTCACAAGGCTAGCCTGCTAGTTTTCCCTTTAAAAATAGGTTGTCCTTGATCATTTTAGTAATTTCTGGCCCTTAACACTTTACATTTGAACAGGATGCTACAGATTACAGACTGTTCACAGAACGTTTCTCACTTGATCCTCAGAGCACTGCTGTAGGGGGTCTATCTGAATCCTGATCAGGTGGGTGAGTGTACAGGCTAGAATGTGCGAGGTGAAACCCAAAACAATCACTGTAGGTGTTTGAGCTGGGGTTCAGGTTTCCTGATTAGTCTACAGTTCCATAGAAGTCTCTAATCTAGATTGCATATGAATGTAAATGGGACAGATCAGTAGATGTTGTTTTTAACACTGGTCTTCACAGCTAGTAATAGATAACTTTGAGCAAGGAAATGTTAGAACTGGGACTGATGGTCAACCAGATAAACTCCAGGGCCCCTTCTGATAGGCTAAGGGGCCATTTTGACGACTTAATAACTAAACTTTAGTAGGTATTAACTGTTAAATATCACTTCTGATTAGAATTTATTTTTTTCTTGGGACCAGCAGGGAACATAATGGTTATGTTGCTGGATTTCCACATAGTCGACCGTGGCCTGAGTTCTGGATTCAGCATTTTCAAACTCATGCAGGTTGTGTGTGCGTGCATGCCCAAGATCCCGAGAGGAGAATGGAGGAGAAGGGATTGGAGCATGGCCATCCCCCCTGGTGGGGGTGATTTTTTTTCTCACTTTCTATCTGTCTCTCTCTGTCTCTTTGGTGAGCACACGCACTGTATAGCAAAAAAAAATAATAATAATAATAAATGTTTTTATCTCCTTTCAGAATTTTATCAACGTATTGATTAGTCTATCTATATCTTAAGACTTATAATTCTATAATAATTACTTGTTTCTTGATGCTGAGATTGTGCTATACATTAGAAAGTCTTTTTTTTTTTAAGTCCATTTTTTCCGAGCATAAATGCCATGCACTACTTTTAAAAAGTACTGCAAAGATAGGGTTTCCAACTTCTCAAGATGTATCGGGTTGCTGGAAAAGTCAGGATGTGCTTTTCTATACAAAAATGGATCGTGATGACCCAGTAGAAATCAAACTACATACGTAAAGCCATTTGACTTTCAAATTTGGACCCATACCTCATCAACATTCCCTCCCCACCCTCCACTGAACACTAAACACCTATGTGAGTCAAGCGTCCCTTACTTTCAGATTCATTCCCTTTCTATTTTCATGTTAAGTTTTCCTTCCTTAGTGACATCTCCCTGGTTCCCCCTGCCAACCTAGTGTGATCTCTTCCTGGTCTGAACTCTCATGGATGGTAACACATCTATCAAAAACAACTAGCTAATCAAATATAAAGTAGAATTTTGACTGGCAGCTGAAGTTTTCTGTTTAAATCTCTTCAACTGTTCAATATTTTATCAGGGCTATGAGAGCCATGGCCTGCCTTTCTCTTTTTAGTTATTTAATTTTATTTATCATTTTTTAAATTTGACCAGAGAGACAGGGAAAATGAGAAAGCAAGCTGCCAGGTCCAGGACTCAAAACTATGGTCAGCCATGTAGAAGTCCAGTGCCTTAACCACTACACCATCTGCCGACCCTAATGGCCATGACTTCTAATCTTTGTGTCCCTCATAACAACTCACATCTAGCTGTGTCTACATTTATTGAGCAATACTGAGCACAACTGGTAGATCCGTTACTGTGTTGGATGCTAGAAGTACAAAAGTGAGTTTATTCATGATGAAGAAGATGCATGGAGTAGTAAGAAAGACACTAGTACAGGGGTGTATCTTTTGAAACAGATATCTCTGCCCATTTTTCTTTTTTTTTTTCCATAAATTGATAAGCAGCTGTTTTTAACAGTCAAGTTCTTGATTAGAGGATTCCTTATATAGGGACTAGTAGATGGTATAATGGTTATGTTGATGGACTCCCACTGACCAACCACAGTTTGAGTCCTGGACCTGCTGACTTACAACTCACACTGGGCACGTGTGAGTTTCAAGAGGAAAATGGAGGAGAGGGTATTGTGCTGTGGCCATCTACCCTGGGGGGTAATTTCTTGCTTTCTGTCTCTGTATCTCCAATGAGGGCATGCGTGCGATAGCAAAAATCTCTCTTAAAAAAAAATTTCTTATACAGGTTTTGACTGAGAATTAGTATTAACTGTATAAGTTATGGAAAATAATGCTTTTCCTCCTGGTTTCTGTTTTTAGTTTAGGTGAATTACCTGGATCTCCTTCAGTATAGGCCACCGTCACTGCTATTTCCAAACTGATCCTACAGCCCTTAAACCTGCTTGGTCACTGGTATACGCATAATCCAAATGATACTGCAAAAGGAGCTTTTTTATGTTTGGTGTTTCTTTGTTCCACTTTAAAACTATAGTCGGTAATATCTTTATGTAAAATTTTATTCCCTCAAAGACAATTTTTCCAGATTGTCAGAAATCTTTGAAAGATCATCTTCCCATTAAATTAAGAGACTAAGAATGTCTAAAGCCAGGAAGTTATTGATAGCATTCTAGGCCAGCAACAAAAACATTTCCCTTGCACCGCAATGAATAATTGATTTTGCTTAAGAATTTTCTTTCCTCCTGCAGAAAGATCTTTTTCCTATTTCCTCAGTGTGAAAATAACCCCTGGTGTATACAGTATGACACTTTCCCACTTGGTGGTAACTTTAACATTTATAAACCAGTAGGGTTTTCTCACTAATTGGATGAATATTTCCTTTCAGAATTCTTTATTCTTTACTTTTAAAAAAGTATTCCAAGAAATATTTGCACTGCTTCATTGGGGGGGGTGGCAAAAATAGCTCAAGACATGAGTGAGTGTTGGTTTTAAGGACCACACTTAGCAGTGGTGCCAGGTGACCCTATTCAATCCTGTTTTGTTTTCTTTCTTTCCTTGCATCTGAGGAGGTAAAAATGATCTGTTATACACAGGTTATGACCTAGACTGGTATCTGCTTTTTTTTTTTTTTTTAAAATTGATGGACAAGGTGAAAATCTTAGAAACCTGTGACATGGATCTCTTGTCAGCAAAGGAGATTTTCCCAAGTGTCACTGTAGGGAAGAAGGGCACCCTGTGCTCGATGGAGCTGCTCACTTTTCCAGAAAACAGATGATTCCAAGATGGCTACTTCAATCTTGACTCAAGCCTGTGTGTGAGATGTGTTTACATTGGGGCTTGAGGTCTTAAAATGATTCAGAAATAGTCATTACCAAGGGTGTTTGAATCTCTCCTTACAGAGGAGAGTATCTATGTACTGTCAGTTTTCAAAGTCTCCTGTCTTTGGGGGTATGGAGGAGAAGGTCCCTACTGCTGTCCTGCTGATGGAGATGAGGGCTGGGAGAAGTGGTGGGTGAAAAGCAGATGGGCTGTCTTGTACTGGGAGACAGAGTTTATCTTCTTGGGATTCTGCAGGCAGTCATCTTGTCCTTGAATGAATACATCATAAGAGGATGGAGAACATATGTGGTCATCTGTAAATGCTCTGAAGACAATATCCTGAAACACACTAAGAGCCATTTGCATAAAATAACGTCCCTATTAAAGACACACTCTTTGAGATGCATTAAGTATTCACTTTAGCCGCAGCTGCTAATAGATTTTATGATGCAATTCTGAAATGGAACTTTACTAGTTGGACAGTACAGATGTACTATGGCTGTTCTTATAAAAACAACAATTACCTTACAACCCTGTGGAATTCACAGAAAGCACAATAACTTCTGGAGCTGATTTTTCTGTTCTTTAGTCTGATTCCTCCTCTTGTTATATTTCCTCTTTAATTCCCCCATGGCTAAAAGTTACAGCCATAGTAACAAAACACCCATCCCAGATGTGTTCCTCATGGACCAGCATTTTCTTGCTAAGAAATTGAGAGTAGAAAGGAGAAAAGGCAAAGTCTGAACAATTTGGACCATTTCTACTAAAATTGGCTCATGAATACTCATGGTTACTTTCTCACCAGAGTGTTCAGTGGTATCTAGAGACACCAGTAACACATGGGGCAGAGACCTAAAATATAAGCTCATTGGAAACAGAAGTCTTCTCACTCAGTAGAAACACATTGCACACCTCATTATAGAGCACTGAAGTTCCATCATGTAGTCTGATGGAAGCAGGTGGTTTAAAGAGGATCTCATGGAGATGGAGATTCGGGCTGAAATTTCAGCAAATAGCCATGTGTACTTGGGTCCTCAAATGCTACATTTGTTTATCTTCATCTGTATGATAGAAATCACACTAATACTTTAAGAAGCTATTTATTAAAGTGAAGTCAGCTGATATGTGAAAAATCCTTATCCCTATACTTGGCAGATGATAGGTAACTAATGACTGTTTATTGAATCGGATTCATTATATGATTGGCCTCAATGGTAAGGTTAGTGGAGGAGAACAAAACCAGATACATGGCGGAACATTTAAGGAGCATTTGCCCTTCAAAGTCTTCGCAGTAGAAAGTTGTATGTGTATTCAAGGGGTACTTGCCTTGATGTATAGATATGTTGAAGCTCTACCTATCTATCCGCGTAATTGTAATGAATGCAAATATCTTATAAATAAGGATTTGATTTTTGAAAATGTCAAGTTATTTGACCCTAAGTGAAGGACTGTTCCCATTTACTTACCTGATTTTTAGCCAAAACCAAAATGTTACCTAAAGTAATAATCGTTGTATTGTGGAATTCATATTTTGAAAGTGACTCCATAGAAGAGTTCCAGAAATAGTTAAAGAGGTGAGTTGCTGCCAGGGAGGAAACAAGCTGCTTCCATGTGCAGACCCTTAAAAGGAGCTAGGATGCTGTTGACTACAAAAGGTTTTGCTACGTATGCTTATTATCTTATGTATTATTTTATATACTATCAATTCTGTGGAAAATTATTAAACTTTTGAG